TCTGTCATGGGGTACACTATCGAACGGTTTTGCCCAAGTATAAAAATACAGCTAGACATTTCCTATTTATATTTAAACTAGCTAATGACCCGCTGCGTTGCCAGCGTGTAAATACATTTTGAAATAATACACTTCTTTTCAAATTTTGTTGTTGATTTTCTATTTAATTTTTTTTTTAAAATCCGATATCAGAGTCGCTTGCCAGTGAGTCCAGTGACGCATTTTAAGCACTCCAGAGCTGCTCTAGAGCGCCCCGGGCTGTTTATAGGCGTTCCAGTGTATCAGAGTTTTACGCAACCGAACTTTTTTTTTCGGGATAAAAAATAGCCTATATCACTCTCCTCTATAGCCGATTCGATTGACCGGATTAGATCGATTTGGTTCAATTTAAATGAACCAAACTGTGTTCGATTCAAGCTGGATCAGTGCACCCTCATCAACAAAAAAATGATCTAGATCAGAAGAAGTTCACTTAAATTGAACCCAAATCGATCTAATCTGGGTCAATCGAATTCACCTTATATAGAGATACGTGGTATTAGTTCAAGATCGGTCCAGCCGTTCTTGAATTCAAAAAATAATAAAGTTACGTCGGTTGAATGCAAGCCTAAATAAATGAAATATAGCAACGTTATTTCATGCTGTCAAAAAAAGTTGGGTTATGTTGTTATTAATAATTAATTCAAAATTAATTTCTTTTTCCGAGATGCGTAACCTATCCACAAACCTTCCTTGGGATGGCCATAACAACCTACCAAAGTTTCATCGTAATCGGATAAGTGGTTTTGGAGCGCATATCCGGATACCCCGTGAACTTCGATTTTTATATATATAGATTATCAACCACCTCTGTTATGAGTCTATGCATAGCTTCCTAAGTACTATTCCCCTCAACAAAACCAAAGTGGTTGGGCGAAAGAACATCATTTTCTTTGGAAAAAGGTGTTATCCTTTTCATTGGGCACTATTCAAACCGAGATTTAAACAATTTAGTAAAATTACTTCTTAGGCTTATAGGCGTGTAAATTCATGTAAAGATTTGTGAATGGGTGTAATTATTGAAATTTTAAAGTAACTTGGCACCATTCCCTTCTCCAAAATCAAATTAAATATATGCAACAAAGGATCAATACATAATTTCTGAATGAGTGTGTTTTATTGTTTTGACGTGTAGGTATACCATCAGAGCCCGGGGAACTATTATTTTTCAGTGAAGCTATGTGCGATATTAATTCATTTTTAATTATCGGAGTCAAAAAAATTGAGTTTTGTATTGGTTGAGCTCCTTGATATTCCGATAGAGGGGGAGGGATAGCTTCCGCATATTTATTCCAATGTTAGCAAAATACTCATTAGCAAAATTAGCCATCTCCAATATCCTGGTCTATGTGACTTTTTATGTTAATAAAATTATTAGACTTATTATTTTTTTCATTGAATTATCTAATAGTTTTCTGTAAGAATCTAAGAAAATTTTAGTTGCTATTTCAGGATGGTTTTCATTCGTTACAGTAGACCAGTCAAACCCTTGAAGTTGTTTTTTTAAATTTAACTATACTCACTTGGCCTTTTGTACAATTAGTACAACGGTCGAAATTTGATCGTGGCGCCATCTAAGACAAAGATTCAACACTAAACAGCAATTTTTGCTGCAATATAGTGACTGACTATCTAATCGGCCGACCAAAATTCAGTTCGTGGGAAAACCCAATGTACAATATCATGGTCACCCAACTATATTTTTTTGAGGTTGTTCTTTTTGGCTCACATAGAGCAAAACTGTACAGGGTGCTGCAATTTGGAGTGTTTTAACAGGAAAAACACACTTCCAGACCAGATAGACGAAAATTGACATAGATGTCATGGGATTGATTTTCGAGAAACGTCGAATGTCAAAAACCGCATCGCGATATCTTCAATGGTACCATTAATACAGGGCGATTTTCGATTTTCCCCTATTATGAAAAATGGCTATAAGTTTTTTATTTGTCAATTTTTTTTATTTCTGTAAAAACATTATGGAGACACTTTTTTGAGCACAATCCAGTGGCGGACTCAGTTTTTTTCTATATTGTTCCGATTTCGAGATACCGACCAAATTCCGATATTTTCAAATGAAACACCCTAAATATTAATAGCTCATTGAATAGCTCTGTTTTTGCTGATTTGAATGATATAAACTTCAATAGGTTTATCTCTAAAAGTTTTCGAGAAAAAAATATTATGTTTCAGTCATAAGAAACATGTGTTAGAAAGAGACCTTCCTCTTTTTCCTTACACATATAAAATCCTTTTCGAACACATTGGTCCTTACGACCAAAACATATAATTTTTTTTCTCGAAAACTGTTAGAGATAAACCTATCGAACTTTATATCATTGAAATCAGCAAAAACAGAGCTATCCAATGAGATATTAATATTTAGAGTGTTTCATTTGAAAATACCGGAATTTGGTCGGTATCTCGAAATTGGAACGATATAGAAAAAAACTGAGTCCGCCACTGGATTGTGCTCAAAAAAGTGTCTCCATAATGTTTTTACAGAAATAAAAAAAATTGATAAATAAAATAAAAAACTTATAGTCATTTTTCATAATAGGGAAAAATCGAAAATCACCCTGTATCAATGGTATAGTCATATTCATGATAGAGTTTGAATTTTGACCGTTATTTTCACCAGTTGAAAATAAATAAAATCCCCAGATCTGTCCTTTTTTCTGACATATATCAAATAATGATACATGACATTTTGATTTGACACATAAAAAGACCAGATTCGGGTCTTTGAATTTTGAATTTCGAATTTTTGTGTGAAATCGTTCAGTTTTTTGCCGTTTTCTGTATTATTTTCTAATTTGTTATTATCGCAATCGGTTTTTTGATTTTTTATGTAGTGTTCTGTGCCTTTGTGTTTCGGTGTTGCGTTTCAAACCTGGTTTTAGTTTGGATTTAAGTGTTTACTCTTTTTATAAGTGTTTACTTTGGACTCTAATTTTAGGATTTTTGGATTTTAATAACTTAACTTCCTTTAAAGAAATTGAAAATAAATTTTTATTCTGAAATGTATATCACTTTTCTAAATACGACCCTGATGTCGTTTATTCCAGCTGACGGAATCGAAGTGCTAACACATGCTGGCAACCTAAAGAAAAAGTTTACCAGAAATGTCAACGCGAACTGTCAACTTCACTTTCTATCGCGATTTCAACTATACCATTGAAGATATCGTGATACGGTTTTTGACAATTGACGTTTCACAAAAATCGATCCCATGACGTTCAAGTCAATTTTCCTCTATCTGGTCTGGAAGGGTGTTTTTCCTATTGAAACACTCCAAATTGCAGCACCCTGTACTGTGATCAGTTATATCTTTTCTAAAAACATGTGGACGTAATTTGTTGGAATTCAATTTTTGCTTAACAAACACATGATCCAAACATGTACCAGAGAGTGACCTTGTAACAGAGTTTATGTAAGACCTAAACCCAAATGAATTCATTAGAGCCAGATAATCCTTCACCTTATTGTCACCCTCATCCAAAATATTTATGTTAATATCTCCCATAAAAATCTCAATATTCGCGTCTATCAAACTTTCAAACAAACCATTCAAGTCATCTATAAAATCTTTCTTATAAATTGGTGGTGGCCTGTAAACCACCGTCAACCCAAAAAGAATAATAATTATTCAGTTGGAACTCCAGTCTACCGACTGTTGCCCCAGAACAATTCAACTTCCTATGTGAGAAATTCACATTAATCCCATTTTTTACCAATATTATGACACCATCATTTTTGTTATAATTTGCTTCATTATAAAAAAGCTGATAACCTGGCACATTGCAACTAGCAGTTGATAGATACCAGTTAAAAAGTTTCGCTTAAAACAAAAATATCCATGTAATTTAAATTATATGATTCTATAATAGTTATTTTTGAATCTAGTGCGCGAAATGCGACTATTTTTTGAACTCGGCTGCGCCTCGTTAAAAAATTCAGATCTCGATCACCAAAGTATTTCGCGCCCGAGTTGCAAACAATTTTTTTTCTACAACTCCATTTAAATATCGATCATTCGAAGCCAAAATTGCATTCTCAATCAAAGGTAAGGTCCGTTTCACCAGGGTTCATACTTGACCTTGAAACTTGAAAAAAAAGGGTCGTAGATTGATTCATATGACACATGCAATTTTTTTGACAAATTAAAATGAATGACTTTTGGTTAAGAACCGACAAACGTTTTTGACGTCATTGATTTATTTCAGTCAATTTTTATTTGTTAAACAAGGAAGATAAATGCTGGTGGCAAGTACAAACCCTGACGAAACAAACTTTAGGTGAATTTTAATTATTTTTGGTTTCCTGACAGGTACCTATGTGTTATCATGACACCAGTGTGCGAAATAGCTAGTTCGCACACGGCGTCATGGGAACGTTAAAAAATCAATACCTGGGAAAAAAAGTGTCACTTCGCAAACTGTCAGGAGTGTGCGAACATCATCATTTTTTGACAGTTGTAGAAAAATGTAATTAAATTGTCAATGTTGCTATTAATACTTCGAATATTAATATAAAAAATATTCAGTAAGCTCACCTTGCTACATGTCAACTGTCTTATTTTATTGTTGTCCACTGTTTAATCATTACATACACTGTCGTCATTAATTATATTAAGAATTTTATCTTGAATCTTGTAGGTGATTTACCATATTTATTATGAATTATAATCTATTTTATTTTTTAATACCAATGTATAATATTTAAGTGATGAACAATTCAAGTACAAGGCACTAAGGTTGAAATTATATCCCAATTTATATTGTTCATTTGCTATCACAAAATTAATACATCTTTTAGCATTTTTATCATATTCCAGAGTACTATGTTCTTCACTGCACCTTTTCTTTTTTTATTGAAAAAAAAGTTACACTATTACAGCCTAAAATAAATAAATACATATTCTATTGCAAATATGGTTGACATTTTTTGTTTCGTTTCAGCCGCATCCTATAGAGGCCCTGGAGAAGACGAAGAACCGGACCACTATGCCGAACGCATCGCGTTCACAGGAAATTCGCGTATATTGGGGCCCGCTTGTATGGTCGTAGGGTTCCTTATGCTCATCGCAAGTTGCGTCTTATGTATTTTAACACGCCGGGCACGACGAAGGGAACAAACTGTCGGATTCCATTGTCCGTTACACGGCGATTTTTACCCTCTCAGCCCTGTGACAAGCTCAAAAACATTAGGTAGATTATGATTTGTAAAGCCAGCCTATATCTTACTTGATATATAAATTTCAGAGATAATAGAAAGAAATGGTAAATGTACCCTCTGTTGGCCAAGAAAGAGGGGACCAGGGGCAATTGCTGTCGGGCCTCCTCAATGTCCCCACAGTCAAGTGTCAAGTACCAGGAGCTCAATAGCTAGCTCACCGCATAGCCAGTGCCCCACGCCGTTACCGTTTTTGGTTAACACCGGACCACCTCTGTAAGTAATTCCGTTATTTATTTGTTTTTTTTTTAATAATTTTTATTCAAAAATTATAGTGTGGCACTTACGGTCGTCTCAACGGCACAACAATCTCCAGTAGAACAAACGTTTGGTTCTATTCGCTCACTAACAGTAGGTCGTGAGGTGGCCAGCTTTCCTATGTCTAGGACACCAACACCTCCCCTAACATTTGAAAGGTGAGTTTATTTGATTTTTTGAGTTGAATTTTGCTTGGTGGTTGAAACTGAGAATATCATGACGGTCAACGCTTTATTTAATATTATGCCTGGCAACAAAAATAAGTCTTTTAATTTGCCAGATTTTGATGGTGGATGAAGGAAAATATTTATTGCGACCTGTTTTTCTTACACACACCGTCCAAAGTTTAAAATCCCCCTTGTCCATTTCTGTCAATAATTAATTTAAAGCCAACTTCACTTCATCTACAACCGTTTAGTTATGACGTTTTTACGTAACTATTTTCCTAGTATTCGAGTTATGTTATGAGAGTAATAACACTAGTGGGGTTATGAATCTATAACACTACTACTTTTTGTAATAGTGGAAAACAACTACAAATACATATCCTACACGTAGAATTGGAAAAATGTCATTGTTGAACATGTCGAAGGTAGACGACTAATAAAAAATAAAAATAATTTTCTTATTTTTCGTTTGTAGATAAAACGTTGTACATCACACGCGCGTTTAAACATGATTGCAAAACTCGTGTGATTAGAACGATTCTGTCTACGCACGCTCTTGTGATGTGAATAACTATTAAAAATCAATTTCAGGTACATACCGTAGATACAAAATCACCAATTGATTTTCGACTGACTATTATGAAGAGCAATAATTATTGTCGATTTTAATTTTATAATTTCCCGTTATAATAAAAAATCGTTATCGCTTAATTTTTTTTTCAAGGTTTTATTCGTAAATCATGGCAGTAATTATTTTCGGACACCTTAATCGTTGCAATATCGTCATTTTCCTCGAATTGAACATATTTTATTGCACATTAATAATAATCTCTATAAGGTTTAAGTAGTCTAAGGTTCTGACGATAGTCGATAACTTATTCTATTCGCAAAGCAACTCAGGATATAAAGTTGACAAAAATGTTTGCGTGCCGTGATTAATAAATAGGCGTTGTCGCAAAACGTTTATATAGGCAATTCTATCTTCCTCTGCAATATGCAAATCAAATCAATAAACCTTTGTATATTTTATGTGTAAAAATGGTTGATATTTACTAATTCAGCTCAACAATTATTATTAAAACGGATTGGAATTATTGTAGTTTTGAATAAACCAATGAGAATAAACTACCTTAAATTCAGAACTAAAAATTCTAGAAATATGATTACATACTCAGACTTCACGAAAGCCTTCGACAGAGTAAACCATAAAATCCTAATCAATAAATTGAAACACATTGAAATTCGGAGAGAGATTTAAAATGCTTAACATCATAGCTTACAGATAAAACACAAATTTTACACATCCACAACTTTCAGTCCACCGAAATTAAAGTTCCTCCATCTAGGACTTCAATGTTTACGTGAATGATATTGCAAACTGTTTCACGTTCGCATTTTTCTTACTATTTGCTGATGATCTAAAATTCTACATGAAAATCCGAAATCAGAATTACTGTGACCAACTTCAATCTGATTTAGATCGTTTATCTCAGTGGTGCGATCTTAATGAAATGGAACTAAATATTAATAACTGCTAATTAATGATCTTCTGCCGTGGAAGAAATCCCATCCATCAAGATTATAATATAAAAGGCTCGACCTTATTGCTGGCTTCTCAAATGAAAGATTTGGCAGTGTTGCTTGACAGCCACCTTACTTACACACAACACTTGTCATCAGTTGTTTCTAAATCACTTCAAGTATTGGGCTTTATCAAACGCTGTACGAAGGACTTTCTAAATATCCCTTCTCCCTCTTATAATGTCCATATACTGGCTATCGAGAGGGTGCAGCATAAGTTTTTGAGGTACATAGCATTCAAGGAACATCAAAAAGTCGATAACATAGATTACCCTGAATTGGAAAACTCCCTTCGAATAACATCCCTCCGGTTCGTCTTGTGAACAGAGATCTCTCTATGTTTTATAATTTACTTCACTCAAATTCTCAAGGCCCTGAGCTCAAAAATAAAATTGAGCTTCATGTTCCCTCTCGCTAAACCATTTCTTTCAAGTTGATTCTCATCAAATCAAATCAATTTTATTCATAATTTACACAAAATATAGTGTTTTCACACGTCAATAGTACAATAGATAAAAAATACTAACATAGCCCTCAATTTATTCAAAATGAGAAAAGCATATACTAAATAAAATACATGAAACACATAATAGTTATTTGTGCAACCAGTTGGGAAAAGCACTATTTTTCGTAACGAGCAGATTTCTGCGGAACGAGCGAAGCGAGTTTCGCAAAAGGAAGCGAGTTACGAAAAATAGTGTTTTCCAATGTGTTTCACACAATATTTTTTCTAATTTTGAATATTATGATCTGATCCATTCAAATTCCAGTCAAAAACATAAAAAATGATGTCCCTTCTATAATTATTTCTAAATCGTCAAGTAAGTTCAGAGATGTTTCCTATTTCGTTGTTATGGAAGCGTACTGTTCAGTATCAAGTTTGGCAACTCAAACCGGTCATTGCTTTCGGCGATCATCGACTACCTACTTTGCTTGTAGATTCTATGGCTGATTTGCTGAGAATTGAATAGCATGGGGGGTGGAAGTCTAATACAGCCGCTAAGTATATAAGTGCGCGTTCACATTGACACCGCTCGAGCGGTGAGCGTTGCGCGATGCCGCTGTAGCAATGCCCAAAAATAATTTTAACATTATATTTCAAATGAACATGTTAACACCGCGCGACACGCCGCCTCAGTGTGAACTTGTTCATTTGAAATCTAATGTTAAAATTATTTTTGGGCATCACTACAGCGGCATCGCGCAAAGCTCACCGCCCGAGCGGTGTCAATGTGAACGCGCACTAAGTGTATAATAAACAGGAAATTGTCACCAACACCCTTGGAGAGACTTCCATAGAAAAACTATTCAATTTATTCATTTAATTAATGCTACACAGAAAACTATGTCGTCAATATCATCAATATTTGTTCAAATTGTGTTAAGTATTAGGTATTATTTATAACTAATTATTTTTTTTTCCATACATTGTCTTATAATGTAAATAATTTGAATTAAATTAAATCTTCATTATATGTACGTACAAAGAATATAATAACAACAAAGTACTTAAGTAGTTCAGCCCCAAAAGTTTCACAGATTATATTCCTGTATTTTTTGCAACTAATGGTGAAATTTACTTTTCATCACCAGTTACGAAAAATTTTACTTTTCGTAACTGGTGATGAAAAGTAAGGCATTTGATAACGTCAACGAGTTTTGAAAAGTGTCACTTTAAATGTCAAGATTAGAAAAAGTACATTTATTACATTTAAAATATTTCTGTGTCCGTAGGCATTAAAAGATTTTTTAGACATACTCTTAACATGATTTGGCAGTTTGTTGTAAAATACCGTACAATAATAATTGGTTGAGACACAAGATCGTTCCAATCTGTGAAAATCGACCCTCATATATCATTCCCGTGTCTAGTTACGTAATGATAAGAGCTATTGTTATTATAATACTCAATGTTGTTCCTACAGTTAAGAACACACTCATAGATATACCGGATTGGTATTGTCAAGATTTTTAACTCAATAAACCTTCCCCTTACATCATCTCTATATCCGAGCCTCGCCACAATACGCACGACTCTTCTCTGCAGTGCAAATATACGTTTGGCATGTGCTGAATGCCCCCATGTCAGGATACTGTAAATACCGACATACTGGAATAATGCATGAAATGTCTATTTTAATGCGCCATCCGGAAGCACACAAGACAAGTTTTTTAGCAGACAAATACTTTCAGTCAGTCGTTCTGCTGTGTGGTTCACATGAATTTAGAATTTTAGTGTAGGATCAAAATACACTCCAAGAAATTTCACTTCCTCGACATTTTCATTTATTTCTCTCAGTTCATACGCCACATAATAAATGTGATTGTTGCGAATGTTTTTATTTACATAAGTGTTTTTTTACTGTATAACTTTGGTAATTTTAAGGTTTTATTAGTCTGAATATTGTGTAGTCTGAATCAAATTATATCTTGCTCCGTTACCAGCGTTTAGCTGTTTAGGAGCGAATAACAAAGTACATAGCTTAACTTGTGCCTTAGATTATATGAAAAAAAACAAAAATTGTAATTTGTTATTTAATAAATAAAAAAAAAAAAAAAAAACATTCACAGTTTTTGTTTCATTTAAAGTTAGTCTATTGAACACAAACCACTTCTTTAGATCATCCATCTTTGCATTCATGCTTACTCTCACCTCTTCCAGATTTACCCCTTTCTGAATCACTGACGTATCATCAGCAAACAGTAAAAACTTAGTATCTGGTGATGCATTACTTATATCATTGATATACAGGGTGAGTTACTAAGCGCGCGGTCGTTCATATCTCCTGTACTAACGGAGATCCAAGAAAAAACTAAATACAAAACTTTTAAATAAGATAAACATCAGTACTACATTTCTAAATTATTTTCCAGTATACAGGGTGGCCCAATAAGTAGTGGTGATACAAAGTTATGTTTTTTAAATGACTTTCCCTATATATTATGACATTTCTGGATTCTGTGAAAAATTCTAGACATATTTTATGTATAATGTCATATACCTATCTTCAACTGTTTCGGGAATATTGACAGTTTAAAATTGACTTTTTTGCATCTTTGACAGATTGTAAAACCTAAACAGCTAATTTTAGAGGAAAACAGATTTTACATTCCTATCTTAGATTTTCATAAGCTATCATTTGACACCAACTTTGAATTTAACCGAAAATATGTCTAGAATTTTTCGCAGAATCCAGAAATGTCATAATATACAGGGTTAGTCATTTTAAAAAAACATAACTTTGTATCACCACTACTTATTGGGCCACCCTGTATACTGGGAAATAATTTGGGAATGTAGTACCTACTCATGTTTATCTACAAGTTTTGTATTTAGTTTTTTCTTTGACCTCCGTTAGTATAAGAGATATGGACCACCGCGCGCTTAGTAACTCATCCTGTATATGAAT